AGTCATGTTAATTTTCCAATTTAGCGCACCATCAAAAGAAACTCAAAGTCAGACTGATATCAGTGAGGAATAGAGCTGCATTATCTGGAAATATTAGCGGCTGTTGTGCACCTAACACGGCGGTTATCTGCTCTGAGCATTTGAAAGATATCCAACTTAAAGGCAGGGGGCATAGATTTTGTGTTTGTCCCAATTACCCTTGTAATGAGATGTATCTGAGTCCGTTGTAATGACAGTAATGAGAAAGATAAAAGGACAACAGGTAAAAAAACAGAGCTGGCATATCAATGACTAGAAGGATGAAGCTTTCCGTCTCATGTATGCAGCAACAAAGAAATTAAAAAGAACCGTAATCCCCAACAGCAAGGACAAATAAAAGAAAATACAGGTCTGACATGGTGCACCTCTTGACTCTTTAAGTATATATGAATCACTGGCCTTATTATCACCCTGACAAAGGAAGGGAGCTTTGCTTTATGAACGCTACTTAAGGAGCATCTCATAATGTGCACCGACTAAACCCAATCATAATCTGTCTTGGCCAATAACAACAAGACAATGCTTTACAGAAAACGTCTGATGTCATATCATCATTACGCTAATAGCGAGCAACCGGGTTTCTCTTTGCGCTACCCCAATTAGTCATTTTAAACGGCTTATTGGTGGGAAAGCATTACTGATCAATTCAAGCATTTAGCCCGTGGAACCGAGCTTGAGTCGGTGCCAACATTGATTATCTGAAGAGGCAAATTGGTCCGAAATAATGGGGATTTTTCATATGGGGCCTGTGAGAACCTGCGGTTTTGCACCGTATTTGCACTGACCTCCCATAAAGCTCGGGGCTGTCATCATATATGGCAAATGTTGTTCATAAGCAAGTGCTCTACCCCTCCCCTCGTGAATGATGTCACGAACAGTGCTCCGTTTGAGGAGTCTAACTCTTCAGACGAGCAAGTTTTTCACAGTTGGCTCGGGGAAGGACACTGCACAATGTCAACATTGAACACAGAACACAGAGAAAATTCGGATATATTTTGAAATATATGGGGCTGATCAGATGAGGTGAGGTCTAAGATGCCCCATTTTTGACAACTAATTAGGATTGAAGCTTGCTATTCACTGAAAGAAAGAAAATGTCTGAATCTTGTCAATGGAGTGTTTACTGTGTTGTTGTATGTTACATTGTTAGGTTTTTTTTGTCAAATCGATTGATTTTAGTGTGACACGAGCAATGAACAAACAGGTTTTCGCTCCACTTTGGTTTCCCACAGACTGTTTTTAGGGCCTATGTCAGCAATCTAATTTTCTAATTTGGTCAGAATCAACAAAAAAAAACTTAGCTTGCACATTTACCTGTCAAAGATAAAAGCGGTTCAAGCACACAACCGTAAATGGAAAGAAATGTTGCTTTGTGTCAGGAAGTAATTAGCCGTGACCAGATTTAGGGGATTATGCAGCCATGTACATTTTTGTAATCCCTAACATGCCAAAAACAAAACGTCATGCCTGGAATGACATAATACACAACAATAACTAATTGTAAACATATTTTTCATCTCACATAATATGGGTTTTATTTGCCCAAATACACTGTTTACTATTTTTCTGTTGTCACATTGTTCCTTTTCGGGCTAAAGAGACCACAGAATTTTATGCTAATTAAATACAAAGTATTGACTTAATATAATGAAATAGATTGCCCTGAAACTGGTAGAGAAGGCCTGAAATCGGAGCAATTCAGTCTAAATGTTAATAGAAAAAAATCTATTTAGCCTTTTAGTGGGTTGAATAACTTCAAGGCTTTTTACGAACACCCCATGGATCATCAGGAGATCCCAGGTGGCACTGTTGCCTTAGGAAATGCTCACTTCCTCCACTGTGGAGAGAATCCCCTGTTGGTTTAAGTCATATACTGTTAGACGCCAAAGAATCCAATTTACCCCATTCCCATACTTCTTTGATTTCCTTTACTTTGTAAGGTCATATATCTGAAATCTTAATTTGGAAACTGTGATTTCTTCCCTCTGTGACAAGCAGCAGGAGTTCCTCCCCCTCCCGTCTCAACAGTCATAAAGGTAGGCAGGTGTCCCGAAGATGTCGGAAAAAAATAGAATATAAGAGACGTGTGCAATTAGTGCAGAATGATCTCGGAAAATGAATTATTGTGCTCTTAATGGGTTGAGCAGAAAACACTCCCCAGAGCACACGAGGCGAGCTCTTTTTTAAGCTATGACACCTTAAGTGAATCAGAACAAACTGCTCCACTCGAACTCTATGGTGATTATTCCAAAGCTTAAAAAACACTTTTAAACAAAGCAAAACAGTTAATATATTTGAATGCAAAAAAACAGAGTTACTCTTGGAAAATACACAACCTACAATTGGTCGTCTCAATTGAAAATACCGTATCTCTGTCTGGAATACACATTTTATGACATAATCATTCAAACAAAAGGAGCTGTTTGTTTTGGTACGGTCTGTATTTCCATACGTTCTCCTTGGGACAGCGGCATCTGCCTGCAAAACTAATCCCAGGACAACCCCATTTTCACGAGCAAAGACTGAATATGACATCAAGAGCCTTTCTCCCCTTTGTGTTAGCCAACCTCAAGGTGACACAGGAGTCTGCTGGCATCACCGGTACCGACTGTGACACGTACTCTCCGCGGGCCTCATTAAGGGGCAAAGGGGACCTCTGCACTGGCAGCGTGTTCAACAAACTAATACATTTCACTAAAACCGGTTTTCCGTTCCACGAAACACCTGCTGTAGCCACACAAGCGCACTGAGTAAATTCAGTCATTTTGTGTTTCCTTTCCAAAGTGACGGGGACAGAAATATATCTAGATATTATAAAGGAGAAGTGTCTCTCAATGCATCAAAGCTTGGTAATAAAACAATTGATAATAACGGGAAAATTATGAATTCAATGTCCTAAGCATCGTTTTAAGTATGTGCATAGGTTGCGTTGAATATTTGTTGATATAAAAGGTTAATTAAGTCTAATTAAAGTCTAATAATTAATGGAAAAATGTGTAGAAATAGCTCCAAAAAGTGATTTATTGTTAAAATACTTTCCATATCTTTACATATGTCAAATGTTTTGCTTTGGTTATGTTATTTTTGTATGCACTTTAAATTAAACTTAATTAAACTAAATTAAACTGCTTTCTTTGGCGTATTTTTAGGGTTAAAATGTGATGGTTTAGATATACCCAACTTCTTAAACCTGAACTAGTCTGGTATTCACTCATCAATATTCCCAAGTGGTAATATGGCAGTCTCGAGGCTAATGAGAAATATCTTTTATGGTTCTGTCGCGCTTTTATGTGGATAGATTTCTAAATACTTTAAAGAAAGGGTTTAAAGCATATGACTGTCATCCTTAATGGCTATGCGCCTCTTTATTCTTGTTACTTTTTCACCTCTGTCTGATATGTGTAGGATCAAAAAAGTAAGTTCTTTAGTATGCAGTACATGTAAATCATTTATTCAATTACATTTTTTTTGTATAATCCTACAATACTTTGTGACTTTATGGAGTTTTTTTACCGTTCGGTACAACAAAAACATAATCTTGGTCTGTGGACCCATTCTTATGGATCAATTTTACAATATGATTTAACATTTTGGCCTGCAATGGGTTCCCACTAATCAAAATACACTTTGAATTTCACTAAGAACACTCAACAAACAAAGTTCCTAATGCAAATTATATCATCAGTCCATTTGAAGTAATTTAACCTTTTCTCCAAAGCTGGAAACCCCAAGAAAATATCCCAAGAATACCCAGGCTGATAATATCTGACTGAGGTCAAAGGTTCTGTTTAAATGTACTTATCATTAGTTTTTTTTACACGTGGTCCTAAAAATTGAACTTGAACTTGTTTACAAGATGTGATGCAAAAAAAATGGGACCGGAGCACTGTCACTTAGACAAAGTGTAATTTGTACCCGGACCTGATCTCAGGCTGTCACTTTGCTCTGCATTAGGGGAAGCTCTAATGGGGCAGGGTGTCAGCCCCGGTGACATCCGCACAGATGCGGGGCCTGCGCAGCTCACCTCACGGAGGGCCCATTTCCATGGGAGGCAAATTAACAAAGTAACCCCGCTGAACCTTTCTGACAGTGATTGACGCTGAACAATGAAGGAAAAAAACCTGCTGCGTCAGCGAGACGCAAACAAGCCCGGAACACCACTGTAGTTATCCAACCCTTACATCCCGCTGGACGTTAACACCAGAAGGAAAAAACGGGCAGTCCAGCACCAGGCCTCCTCTTCGGGATTAATATTTATACTGAATAAAGTATGGCGAGGGGGGCTCAGTCGCCAAATATTTCTAACATCTTCATTTTTCAATTAGCATGACTCTTGTTCCGCGAACATATGCAAACACAGCGGGTCGTCTATTAAAATGCAACTCTAGAGTTGAGCCTAATTAGAGTAAATTGCTCGGCTCGTATCGCTGGAAATTTGAATGCAGCTCTCTATCCACTTGTGTTTTGCCACAACAAACAAGAACGTGCACTTGCTGCCTCATGCATATGTTCATATCCTGGTAGTAGTGACAGAGAAGCCTTGTCTAGCACTTCAGTTCTAATGTAGGCTGAAAAATGATAAAGTACAACCTTCTGGTATTCTCTGTTTTCAATATTATTACCAGAACATAAAAAAATCTCTTTATGACTGGATCGCTTAATAATGCATTTGCATGGGGAATAGGAGGTAGAATGTGTTTTTTTCCTTTCATTAGGTGATACTCTGTTTTTTGCCTTTGACTTCCTCATCACTTCACAATAGGAAATAACTCAAACTAATAAAATCTTGCTGACTTCGTCCCAGTGATGTTTAGACAAGAGTGGATCTTGAGTTTTTTTTTTTTTTTTTTTGCTAACGTCATTGGAACATGAGCGGAAGCTTACAGTGGACAGTGGGCAACAGGCCAAATGGACCCTGTGCAATGTAGAGGATAATTTGTCCCGGATCCTTTGCCGCTTTGATGAGGAAAACAACTGCCCCCCACAGCCGGGACAACACAGCATTGTTGCGTCCCGAGAGCCGACAAGTGTGTGAAGAAGACAAGCAAGCTGTGGTAAGACTGTGTTAGACGTTAAGTCAGGCTGGCTTTCGGTGTGTGCCGCCACACATTTTTTGGCTTGAGATAATCAGGTTTGTCATACTAAGTGCATTTTTTATCTGTGATGCAATGGAGCAGATGGCAGATGAAACCACTCTAAAAGCCGACGTGAAAGACAAAAGGAGGGCTGAGGCGGAGGAGAACTCTGCAAGGGTGAGAGAAGGTAAGTTACTTTGACTCAGATCTGTAGAAATGTTTCTGGCCGCCAGTAGTGATTCATTCCATTTATTTCTTTTAATTACGTCAAAAGTCGAGTTTTCTCTCAGTGATTATGATCTGTGTTTTACATGCAAACATCCTTCCAGATGTGTCATGTTCGATGGTTCAGTGTGTTTTAAAAATGTAGGTATGTTTTCAGATTTTTAAAAATGAAGTCAAATTATTAGAGACCATTTGCGATAATCATGGTGACTAATGAGTGGGTGCAGCTCGCTGAACACTGGAACAAAACCTTAAAAATGTATAGTTTGCCTGCGGGCCTTATTTCTCTATCAGTTAATGGTCATGGGCATGGACCAGCTGCACTTCTTACTTAATTCATTAAGTAACCCCGGAGCATCATGCTGATTCAAAGCCCAAACATACACTAGGCAGCACTGACTTGGAGTTTTGACATGTTGTATTTATAATATCAATCCCTCCTGCCGTCCCTTTAATATTCCATCCTAGAAGCATGACCATGGCAATTCCAATGACAGACAAAAATAACTTTGCGAACCGACAAAAGATGAATACTAATATTGAAAAAAAATACCATTCAAATATTTATTATACAGGAGGGGTGGGAAAATTTAAGCACTGACAGCAATAAATCTGGAGTTTAGAAACAGACCTGCGTCTCACCAGATGTTAGCAGCTGGACCGTCTTTTGAGCACTCTAATGATCTAACTGCTAAAGTGGTTCTAGCTAATGGGTAAATAGATGGATATCAAATTAATTTGGATATTTTGTGGCCTAACTCTATGGTCTGGTGTCCCTGTAGACTGAATTGGTTTGACGTATTTTCAAGTATCTATTTATCGGACTAAACACTCATTTACTTGGTTGTTGTGCATTTCATAGTAAGCTCAGCATGGCACTATTATGTCTTTAAATCAAAAGTTTAATAGCAGAACTAGCTCTTGCTACTGGTTTTTACTATGCAAGTTTCACAATAGCTGAGTGTTTGCGTCTCATTTAAAAAAAGAAAAAGTGGTTAGTATGGTCCGATGTTTATAAAGGAGGGAGCTCAGGTCCAATTCCCTAAGTAACACACAAAAACAAAAACAAATGCCATGCACAGAAAGCTAAAATCCTGGAAAAAAGGTCCAGTTTACAGCATCATTGCTCTCTGGAATCACTTGTTGATATCTCCAGTAGTACAATAAGGAAAATATGCAGATAAGGGGCTTTAGTATTTCCTTTGTGCTTTTCATTCAGTCAGACTTCGTATCTGTTTTCAGAGCTTGCTGCCACACTGAAATGTAAAGCGAGCGTCCTGATCAAAGATAACGTCAAAGCATTCTGCTGTTGCTTACCAGCAGGAGAGATCTCCGAAAGACAGCGATTTCAGAAGAATCCTCGCTGTTAACTGTCTCGAAAAGAGCTTGGTAGCTGCTCTGACACTTAGCTAAAAGCGCAAACCAGTGTCTCCGATTATGCTCTCAGTACCGCTAGGAAGCGGCTGCACATCTTTTTTTTTAGTACCAACATCCAGGGGAATGGCATACAGATCAGATTAACTGCAATTTTGCAGCTGTTTGAGGGGTGGATATCAAAAGATCGATGCACCACCACAGAACGACGTTTCAACCAGGACATCGGCTCCGTCTGGGACTATACCAACTGTATCTGCGATATCCAGAACATTAACTTTCAGTGAAAAACTGCCTGTATCCACAATCCCACTCGAATCAGTATCCCACATTTTGATCAGTCCAATGCCTACAAACTGGTTTCTTTCCTGAGATTTTTTACACTTATTCGGTTGGTCTTTTTGCCCATGCGAAGCGAATAAAATGAGTCAATAATGTCAGGTTGAACTTCCTTAATAAAACAAAAGCTGCATCACATGATAACAACAGTAAAGTTGGAATTGTTTAAGTCATATGGTTCACCTAGACTAAAAATATGTTGACTAAAACGTGTCATTATCTTGTCAGTATCTGTACCTTTTGCCTTACGTCAGGCTGTTTTCATCCAGGCGCGCAGCCCGAATATGGTTTTATCCATATCGTAAACCTTTTCCTTTTTTTTTGGTCCACCACCAGGCTGTCTCCCTCCAGATGTACAGCTATACCTTGTCCCTATCATGAACATCTCCTTTTTTTTCCTCGGTCAGGCCATCTCTATAGTTCATCCATAGCTTGAGCATCCTCCCTACACTCCACTTTAGGAATGTGTTTTCTCAAATGTTTATGCTCTTCGAACAGAACAGTCTGTGCTTTATTGCGTGCTTCAGACACTACATTAGCAACAATGGACGATGTTTGCATCACTCCCGATGTAGCATATAAAAATAGCAAAAGTTGGCCACAGTGTTTCCCAGTCAGTAAAAAATGCAAGCCCGTCAAATTGGTCATAAAAGTCTGGAAATCTAAAAAATCAATACACTCATAATAAGCACAAGTAAAACCATATGAAGACAGTAAAGACAAAATATTAAAGAAAATAAAATCCCTCTAAATTTAGATGCCAGACGCGTTTAAAGCATAGGTGAAGAGGTCAGACTTTGGTTTGGACAGAAGTATCTCTAGAGGGTGATAAGAGTGCAGTTGGAAAATAAACTGCTAGATGATATTTGAACATATTGGAGAAGTTGATAAGTTAAAGTGATTAAACAATGTATGGTTTGATTGTTCTGTAACAGCCCGGGGACCAAAGCAGGCATGAAACAGACCAGCACACCAAAATCAGACCACGGTCCACAGTGATCAAGCAAATTATGAACCAATAGGACTGTATTGATAATGTTAATTTCCATTACAAAGATAAATTTAATGATTATTATTGTTATTCTGAAGGTTCTGCTTAGTTCGATTGGGCATTATCATATCACATTGCATAAAATAAACCAATTTCATTTAGTGACAGATTACCTACTTTCATTACTTGATTATCATACCGCATGGGTTTTTTTCTCTCACTTTCAATTAAACAAATTCACCTCAGTTCTATTTCACATCACAGTTCAAATCACAACAAATGTCATCTCCAGGCACTTCAAAAATAGTCCAATAGTCAAGCCAATTAGAGTTAAATTAGTCGTAATACAATTAAAATCCAATCATGTGTCATGTTTTTAGGCAACTATCCAAGCTCTGACTGGCACCGATTTGTAGGAATGTATTTCTGTATGATCTAAAATGACTGTCAGCAGCTTTGATACAAAACTGTTTCAAAAGTAGGTGCCCTTTCATAAAATACGAGAGTTCTAGGCTTCACATGCTTCTCAATGATAAATGCTTCCTAAAGATCCAATTAGTATCGGTTGATGATGCATTTTTATTCATGGAATAATTTGTTCCTGTGTTTTTAATAGAAAGAAGCCAGAGAGGGAAAATGCACCTGAGGAGATCTTCATCTGCAGTATCAGAGAGTCAGTCTTCCTCCAAGCAGACCAACACAGGAGGTTAGTGACAGAGGCTTACACGGGGAAATAATCGAAGATTTAAAAAAATAGCCATATAAGAAAAAAATATATCTTATGCTGACTCGTCAAACAAAAACCAACCTCAAATATGTTGTCGATAAACTAAGTATTAAATTGAATGCAGCAAACAGCCTGATATATTAAATGCTGATTGATATGCAGAGTAACATCACACAGAGAGTTGGAAATGTTGATAAACTGCAATCTTTATTCCATGCTGCTGTGCTGTAAAAAATGCTTAAATGCAATTCATGTAATCAATTATGAAAATTTGTGAATAATTTAGAGTCTGAAACTGCAGCAAAAAAAATTAGAAAGATTAATGCAAAACATGGCCACCAAAGTCGACTCCCTACATCCAACAGCAGCAGCATTTACACCAGACAGTTCGTCTGGAAGACTTTTGTGTAAAATATTAGATAGTCTGGTCACTTTGGAATCATTAGTAAAACAGTAGGAAACACTGTTGTGTTTTTTTAGTATGAGAAAAAGTAGAATGATTATTTTTCTTGCTAGATTAGTTTCATGTCTTAGACATTTGATTTAATATTCAGAACATTTGTCAAAAAGGGAAATATCGGAATAGTGCTTGTTCAGAGGGAATTTGGAAGGAATGACGCTTGTAAATTGAATTGAGTCATTTTTCAGCAAAATAATCTTATTAATCAATTTGATTAGCGTTTTATGGAAAACATTCAGCAACAGCTTTTGAGTTATTCAGTGGGGATTTTAGTATATTTCTTTAAATACTGGTTTATGAGATTTGCTAGTCATTGCTGTCTGAGTTCATTTGCATATTATACAGAATTATTTTTCCATTTACCGGGAATGTTTGTCCAGTTTATCAAGAAAACACATGACACCAGCTTGAGAGGTTAGGTTGGCTAATGTGGAGTGACAACACAGGATGACAAATTTAAACTAATTCTAATAGACCCAGCAGTAGAAAACCACATTTTTAGGTTAGCTGTGTGATCGCTATCACTTCAAATAGATGCATTATTTATGTTGTGCTGAGAAGGAATACGATCTATCCAAAAAAAAATATATACAGATTTGTCTTGAAGTTATGTAACAGAAGTCTAATTGATTGCCAAAACTAATCGGCCATACACCATAAAGTGACGCACAAGTCCTCCTTGTAAAATGTCCTTAAAATGTCCCAAATAGAACAGTTAGAGGACTGTGCAGCCTCTAACATCAAGCTTCAGAGACATAAGGATTTTACAATGACCTGTCTTCGGATTCTACCACAGTTCATAGCACCCATGGGGGGAACAATTGGCAAAGGCTGCTTTGAAGACACAAGCGATGTTTCAGAGTAACCACAGCACACACTGGACGTGCTCCTGGCCGAGCGTACGAGAGAGAGAGACATTTAGTAATTGATTATGTCTCCCGACAGCCTTCCTGCTTGTCTCCCTGTCAGGGGAGCAAAAGCATGATTTCCTAAATTATGCATGGCTAAAGAAAGGAAACAAGGCTTTTAGAAAGGTTCTGAGATACAAGCAAAAAGACCAACAGCTCGAGCTAAGATGATTTATGTCCCGAGAAACGTTTTCAGTTCTCTGTCCCTTACATTAGTTTGTGGCGAGAAGAGAGACCAATAGTGTCAAGTGGGGGTTCTTGAGGGAGGACTCAGTCGCGGAATGAGGGGAACGAGGTTTATTGCACAAAAAAACAGAGTGAATGTCCAGACAAAGTACAAAGCAAAGCTGTGGAAAACTGTGGGCAAAGTATCAAAGCAAAGCAAACAAGACTGTGGCAAAACTATGACAAAGTAACAAAATAAAGATTAACAAGACTGTGACAAAACTGTGACTATGGCAGAACTATGACGAAAACAAACCTGGCGTGGGGGTGACGAAACAGACAAGAGACGAAAGACGAAAACGCACCCGCGCCAGACAAGGGGAAACAGGACTATTTAAACACACGAGGGAGGGGAACCCCAGGTGTACACAATAGGTAATCAAGACGAGACACCAGACATTCCCCCAGACGTGACAAATAGATGGAATATATCTAAAAAAACAAATGCAAATACAACATTCCATGTGTGTTTTCTGCAGTTGACTGTGCAGACGTTGTCCTGAAGTGTCTCTTCTGCCGGTTCTCCGATTTGATCTTTATGATACCGGACTCCTGTGGGAGACTGACCGATCACTGCTGCCCGGACTACAAATATGTCATCACCACGGTGGAGTTGGACACTACACCCGATGACGGCGACGATTGCACGGCCTTTAACTGCGGTTTTCTGGGCTCCTGTCACGACGCGAGTGACTGTTTAGAGCTGGCTATGGAAGTTTCTGAAGTTTGTTACCACTAGTAAGATACACCAAAATGAAGGTGGAGAGGGGTGGGCGGTTATCAAAGAGCTAAAACACAAATAAATTTGAAAAAAATACATGAAAAGCAGTTGTATGGGTAATTATTTTCCCTAATGTATGAAAAGACATTTACACCCCTGCAATTAAATTAAACACAGGCTGTCATTACATACAGTGGGGGAAATAAGTATTTGAGCCCTTGCTGATTTTGCAGGTTTGCCCACTTACAAAGAATGCTTATTTTTCCTCATCAAATGGTTATCAATTTTTATAGATTCATATGATGTGATTTTCTGGAATTTTCTTTGGGATTCTGTCTTTCACTGTCAGAATGTACATATGATTAAAGTTATAGATCGTTGCATTCTTTGTAAGTGGGCAAACCTGCAAAATCAGCAAGGGGTCAATTACTTATTTCCCCCACTGTACAAGAGTCGTGGGACAACAGTGTTGAACAATAAGATATCAGATAGAGTTTAATAGGAAAAACAGAGGGATCAGTAGCAAGCAGTTGTATATAAATTCGAATTTTACAGTTGTTGTACAGCCCAGTGGCTCTGAGGCCTGCAAATTCCATCGCCGCTCTGTTGATCCACACAGCGACAAGCTCTGAAATTCCAACATGATCGCCTTTCTGAAGTACAGAAAGAAAAAAAAAAAAAGAAAAATCTTGAGGGCTGTCCCCTGTCGAGTGTGCCTATTTCAGCTGGAGTGCCACTGGAAACACGGAGGCTGTTGGATATGACATTTGTAGGACACTTGTCCTTGTCACTCCCCTCGACCTCCGTTCTCAAAGACAGTTCTCTCAAGTGCTAGATCACTGTTTAGATCACTTCAGTCTGAAATATGTCCTTGTCAGACAGTGGGAAATGGACACAATGCCACATCTCTGACGGAACTGTACACAGGACAACATTGTACTTGAGCTTCGTCTGATTCCAAGAGACGGTGTTACTGGATTATGCTCAATTACCGTGCCAAACATTTGTTTTCTGCCATTAAATGTGAAGTCTTAGAAAAGTAGTCTTACCACACAATCAGGCAGATTATTACCGCACACTCCTGTTGTGCAGTTTACTCGGGTAATGGCGGCATTGTTCCGAGGCACCGCTCTCTATGAATACTAATTCACTGACATGTACACGGATGGAACCCCGTAATCGTATCATGTAATGTACTTCAGAAAACATGAAGATGTGAAGCAAATTTGGGAAATGAGAAGGCAGAAACCAAGAAGGAACATCGGGGAGAGCTGTCATGGTGTGTCATGCAGTGGAATGCATATTTGGAGGGACTACAATTGCTACTTTTGAATGTTTTTAGGCAACTTTGAAAGCAATGAATGGAGCTAAATGACTTTTCTGTAGCCCTTCTGCATCGGTTATAAGAAATAGCATTATTACAAATGGCATTATTGAGAAAAATCATGCAAACATGGAGCAATCCCAGAGAAAGCATGGTGATACAAAGCAATCAAGCCACAATAAAGCAGGTAAACAGGCAACATTCCTCACATAAAATCTTGACTAAGTTTAAATGCAACTTGCTTTTTTATGTGCGCCAAAAAAAACAACTCAACGTGGACACACATACTGGAATCACATGGTTTCACTTTAGAATACAGGACACAAAGTCTGTTGCTAACTATCGAACATGTGGCCGCAGATATGAAAACACAAGAATAGAAGGCAACTCAACGCGGGTTTTATAAAAAGTTCCGATTCCGCGTTTCACGGTCCGAGATAACGTCGGACAGCACAATAAGGAGGTTATTGTCAAAAAAGCAAAATAATAAATGGTACGGTGCTTTTTCAGCAAATTCCTGCCACGGTTTTCATGTCCAAGATGTAACCATGAATATGCTAATAGTCTAATATGTATAATATGATCAGCGTTATTGTACTGACCTGCAAAGTTTAATAGAAGCTGAGAGCTGTTTGACAGGTAATATTAAAACCAGACCAGAGAAGCTTTCCGGATAATAACCCATATCCTCAAAGCTTGTGGATGCTTAACTTTGATCAGTCGTGTTGACAGTGGCTCTTTAGTCACACAGCACACAGATTGATCTGCATTTTCTCAGGATATTATCACCTCCGTCTGAGAGTTTAGCTACTTTTATTTGACCAATAAAACGGACTCACATAATTAGAAAGTGTTCTGCATCGCATTATAAATACATTTTATGAAACACAAAGGTTTATTGTCTTTGGGAATATTTGGTGCACCAGAAATAATGCTTCTATTTCATTTACATGCTGTGTTGTATAAAGTTAAATGTAAACCTATGTCATCTACATGAGTTTTCATTTTACTTTATATAACACGTGTCATTTTTTGGTAGAACTAATACTGTGACATGAATTAGACTCAAAGCTGTGCACATTTGTCCAAATGAACACCGCCATGGGGCCGAGACACCACTGCTCAAACAAATAAAGGCACATACTGTGCAAAATTGTATATTATGGGTTACATCTACAGGGAGCGCTGCTTGTGTGCAATTTTCTCATTACCTGGTAGAGCACAATTACAGAGCTGAGTGCTCTAGCTGATACTGCTCCATAAAATCTATTGGAGGTCCTTTGTGGTTTTTTGAACATAAAGCGCGTCGGCCATAAACAGATGCCAGATTTAAAGCGAAAACATCTGCACATCTTAAACTCGCTGGATCTCTTTCAAATTACCTGATGGCTTTGGGAGTAGCGTGGGCTGCAGGGGAACTCTAGTGTTTTTTTTTTTTAATAACATCCAAATGGCCTGTCCTTTACTGGCCAGGTTCAAAATGCCGCCCCAAATCCCAGCCAAAACGGATGTGGACAAGGTCAGGTGGTTTTCACTGCTGCGCGACACATGCGTGTGCACCTTAATGGTCGCTCGGCAGCTAGCGTTAACCCATTAGCTTGCATCCTACTCCTCCAGGTTTCCCAGCCTTAATTCAAAACACTTGTGAAGAGGGTCAAAAAAAAAAAAAAGAAAACCGCAACGCTGAAATGATCAAACGTGAAATGGGTTGTTGTTGGCAAAAATCCCCTTCAAACGCGGCGTTGCAGATCTGCCATTGTGTTTTGTGACATAAGACTAGCATTAACTAAAAGGGATCTAATTGCGAGCCGCTTCGGCGTGTTTACACGCATCTCCGCTCGCTAATCGGATGTGCGATTTCTTCACAGGGTTCAGGCCCCGATCGCTTCATTAGCGTGAAGCAGCTCTTCCTCCTGAGCACACAGCACTAATACCATCTCCCCTCAGACACTGCCTCGGCTCGGAGTGGCCTCCTGAGGAAGCAGCACCATTAAATATTAACGCCATGTGTTTAGAGGGTTTTTATTTCAAACAGCGGGTTTGTCAGCATCTTATGTAGTGTTCTTCAAGATATGGTCCGTGTGGAAAATGAGGCTCCGAAACCGTGCCTTCAGAATGATTTAGGCCTGTTTTTCTAATGGTCTTTCTGTGTTAATATTGCCAACATTTTCCCCTGATTTTTCTTTTGGTATGTGGGGCATTTTTGAGTAGGCGAGAGTACCGCTTTCTGTAGCTTAAAGCATCCTGTGTAACTGTCACGGGGTGAAGAATGTTTGGGTGTATCCGAGTTGACGCTTCAAATACCTGCATAAATAGATGCATATGTTGCTCACAAGCTCTATTTTCAGTTACACCCATGATGCGGAATATTTCTCCATCAAAACACTCATGACACTCGAGAAAAACAGCGTTCGGCAACACAAATAGGCCGGAGAAACGCACACAGATTCACACAATACACGGGTTAACGACATTTTTTTTGAAAAGCCATCAAAAAATTTGTCATATGTCCTCATTATTTTGTCATTTCTTCTATTGTCCTAGTTTACATGCCAGTCTCACAATTACCCCCCCTCAAATGAACCTGACCTCGCTTGCATTTAGGCGCGCGAGCATCATTCCCAATTAGGTCAGGGGCGTTAATAGTACGGCAGGAAAAACGAACACTTCTCCACAACATCCTTCAGGAATTGCGCCTGACACTACTGACTGCCTTGAATCTATATTTGGGCCACGCGCGTGGATGTGTGTCAAACCGAGACTAGCCCGCCCCAATCTCTGAAAAGTAAAGTGAGTTGTGGGGGGGCCCACCGTGGGCGGAAATCGTGAAGGCACAAAGGGAGCTCCCAGCGGGCACGGCGAAAAAATCCAGGGCCCTGGGCAGGTTTTTTTTTTTTATGATACCTTTCAATCAGCAGGCTGATTCCCTGCTGAAAATGACAGGTGATTGGACTAATTCTCCAATTAATGACCTCATTTCAACAATTAAGAGGAGAAGAGGAAGGGGAAAGCCCCACAAAGAAAGACGACGGTGTTTCGATGCCTTGAAAGCAGAAGGTGGTGCTGCCTTTGTGTGACAGGTGGGACTGGAGGTACCTGTGGTCTCCGCCCAGGTGACCATTTTTGTCTTTTAGCCAATCGTTGACCAGTATCGAGGAGCTAGATAGGGAGGACAGAGGTGGAGGGCGAGGCAGGGACGGGCTTGAAGGGGTGACTAGAAAAGAGGCGATGATAGAGAGAGCATCAAGCTACGTTTGCCCCCACCCCCCCTTACACCTTCACTTGCCCCCACCCCCCCCACAGCTTAGAGGAAATTAAAGAGCTGTGTAGCAGGAGGAGAAAAAAAGGAGAGAGGAGGGTGGTGATTTAGAGCGTGGCACAGGGGGATGGGGACCCGGTGCATCGGAGTTAATTACTGAATAATGAGGAACAATTTATTGTGTTCTTGTTAGAGACATCAAAATGCTGCTGGATGCTGCCTATAGAGCGGCGCATGGCTCTCTCTCAGTCCTGTTCAAATGAGGTGTTTAACTCAAAGTCGTTAAAAAAAGCCCCTATCGCGCTTTGACTATACCCTTATAAAAATTGGGATGCTTGCAGGTCTACCAGGAATGAGGAGGGGACAAAAAAGCACCCTGCCCTGATAACGCTTCCCCATTGCCTCTTGGTTTACACTCCAAATTATTGACACAAG